CAAAATCGGTCTTTTCTGGCCGTGAAAATTGGGATGTCACAGTTGGTATCAGAGCATTAGTTTAAGCTAACTAGGAATAAGGATTTATTTCTAGACTTAAACTAAGAATGCTAAGCGATGATCGTGAGGAGTGTGTCTAGTATATTTAGATAATACACATTAATAGACACAAGCACTAGCTTATTTAGGGAAGATGTCTAAAATGCTTTTATGTGCTAACTGATTTATGATGCTTTATGATGTTATTATTTGATCGGATCTATGGTCTGTTGCCGATCGGATCTGGAAACTTTATGTGTTCAGATTTCTAAACGTTTAAATACGGTATTAGAACTGGCATGTAACATTTCAGAGTAATAAGGAGGATTACGCGTCTAAATCTCCTCTATCTATATTCTCGTCTCGATACACCGAATGCCTGCTTTGGTGGATACAATGTCATGATAAGGACTCATAGCAGACTGAGAAAATGGAGGAAATGAAAAGGCTTACGGTAGTGAATGATACCTATCGGAAGATATCGTAAGAGTGATATCTTGCCTTTAGAATACGTCTAATAAATAATACGTCTAGTACGGGAGAAGTACACTTTCGATTAGCAGACAAAAAGAATTTTTGGTATAATCCATGAAGTTATCCCATCGTTTGACATTTCCATCACCAACCGAGTTAAAGCGGAATTGATGATTGAAGATACGCATGGAAGAAGTCCTAGTAGAGTCTAGGAAAAAAATTATTATATGATTGTTTGGACACATTTGTATGTGTTAAAAATTGTTTTTGTGATAATAACTTGGAGAACTGCGAGACAATACTTGGGACGAGTATGAGTAGGTGTGAATGGTAGTAGAGGCCTATACTACCGGAAGCACAGGACTCGCACTTGGATCAGGGAAAGTCACAAGGTTACCAAGAAGCTAGTAGTTGATTCCGTTTTGTTCATGTATGTCATTACCATTGTTTCGGTAATGACTAAGAAGATGATTGTTATTCCGACCCTAGTGGTCATAACAAATTGAGTCCGACTACGATGAGTATGTTACGTGGTTCAGAGAACCAAGTTCGATGTAGCATCTGACTTAAGCCGAAAGATTGAAATAAAAGATAATCAAAGCGATCGGTAGAGGTATCGTAATAGTTGCTTGTAGCTAGAAATGCTACCTTTTAAGATGTGATTATATCGCATTAGAACATGAAGGAAGGTATAGTCTGTTTTGGAATTTGACTCTAAGAGACCTGAGTCTAAGCGTTGCAACATACGGTGATAGGTCATTAGAATATGACACATCAGTCCATTGTAGTAATAAAAGAACTTATCTTAAGTTCGTATCCAGTAAGGATCGAGATTGTGACTTGAAGGTCATAATTTGGAGTCTAACGTGAGACAGGGAGCAAGTGCAACATCGAGCACCGCCTGCAGACAAGGAGTCCAAGAGTTAGATACTCATTTGAAGGAACAAAGAAGTTACGATTATTAACTAGGATGAAGAGATAACATATGGAGTCATTATACTGCCCTGTTTCGTTGATGATTCCGGGACGTAATCATCCTAAGGGGGAGATAATTGTAACGCCCGCAGATCCGGGCTAGTCAATTTAGAGACAATAAGCATCAAAAATAAGTTTTTGATGGAAGATTATTTAGAAGGATTAATCTTTTTCAGGTGGTAGTATATGTTACAAGAGTTCCGTACATGTAAAGAACGCCGAAATCCGAGTTATAACGAAGAAGTTACGACCCATCGAAGTTTTTCGGCAAAACCGGCACGGCATCGGGAGACGTAAATAGTGAATTTACGATAGAGCGACTTTTAGCCTTAGTAATCTAAATGAAAGTCGTAGAATATGTTAAACCGAGAGCGTCCATAAAAAGAACGCCCAAATCTGACTTCGTATGAGGAAGTTATGAATTTTCTAAGATTTGGCACAGTAGTGCATGACCCGAAACTCGAATTTTAGATCGAGCAGTTTTTGGCCTACGCGACCTAAATGAGAGTTGAATATCTCATTAATAGGAACTCAGCGATAAAAAGACAGACAAAAACGGAGTCCGTATGAAGGAGTTACGAATTCTTCGCGGTCATTTAACAGTCTAATCTCCTCCTACTGTTAAATTTAAGATCGGTCGAGAATTAGCCAACGGAGTCTAAATGAAAGTTGTAGATCTTATTTTTACCTACGCGTGGAAAAAATAACGTCGAAAACGGAGCTCGTATGCGAAATTTATGAATTTTTGAAAATCGGCTGATTTCCACCCTATGTGCGATGCCACGTGTCAGCACCAGGCGAAACCTTGGAGCCTACGCAACACCACGACGTGGTGATGCCCCAGGAAGCCTATAAATAGAGGTGTCGGGTGAAGCTCATTCCTCACACCTTCCAACTTCTTCCCCTCTCTCTAGAACATCTCTCTAACCCCCCAAACCCCCCAAAAAGCCTAGGAAACCCCCCTAGCACGAGGCGGAAGCCCCGGAGCGCCCGACGGCTCCGAAAAGAAGAGCCTTCGGCTCAGAAACTCTGCTTCAGCGGAGCCTGGTTTTGAGGAAAACCCGTTGTAAGTGAGCTACGCCTACCCTATCTTTAGTATAACTTATGATTCAATATAGTAATGTTATTAGGACCTTAAAATAATTATTTGGGCTATTATTATGAGTTATATAAGAGTGTTGTTTAACGCTTATATAATAGTAATAATAGATACACTATTAATTAGTCTCGATTAATATTAGACTAAACCCTAGTGGTAATGATACTAGGTTTTGTCGAACGAAGTTGTTTTAGGTAAACGAAGCGCTGTCCCGAGTACCGAGTCACCACCTTATCAGGTGAGTACATAGTTACTTTCATCTTACACATAGATATGAAGTATTTAATATAAATTACGTGCTATGTGTGAATCTTATCTGTATACTTGCTATCTATGCTGGATGAACAATTTTATACATGTTTTAAATGATTTAAATTGTCTATATATTTTTTATCTACAAAATATGTTGGGTAAACATGGGTAGATGAAATATGAGTCGGATGATGATGTGAGAGGTGAAATAAACCATTAGGTGAGGGTGAGAGATGGACGAAGTGAGAAGCCTTTTACCCAAATGCTGGCCCCGTCATCTAGCAGAGTATGGATGACAACCACGGACTATTCTAGACAGTCCAGTGGAACACTAGCAGGCTCGCAACCTGTAGGTGTTGTGAACGATGTGTTCACTGGTGTACTCTAAAAGCCCATTGACATGTATGGCGAGTGGACTCTCGAAAATGATACTATCAATAAACGAGATGACCCTAGCAGATGCGCCAAAAGGACTCTACCGGTAGAAGCGCCAAAAGGACTCTACCGGTAGAAGCGCCTAATAGAGAACCTCATAACCCCGACAGATGCGCCTAAAGGACTATACCGACAGATGCGCCCCATAAAGAATGTCACAATTCTGGCAGATGCGCCTAAGTGATAATATTAGCAGTTGTGCTTGACAGATGTGTCATTAGCAACGATGGATTTTGTGCCTATTCCTTAGGATAATCCTTAGGAATGAATGAACGAGGAATAACTGATTCTTAGGGTGGATCCTTAAGAGTAAATAAGATAATGGGGATGGGTAATTGGGTTGATTGTTTGATGTTTAAACATAATAATCATATTATTGTGGGTTGAAAACCCTATGTACTCACCAGGTTTCCCAACCTGACCCACTCGGTTTATTTGAATCACAGGTGTCGATATGAAGTTACATTACACTGAGAGATTAAGGAGATATAAATCACTAGTGAAATGAATGTAAGTTCTGTTTATGCTTATGTTTTCTGTATTGACGATGACATCCCAATGTTTTAAAATGAATAAAAATACATTTCTTCGGAAATGCTTTGATAACGTATTTATCATGTTTTTCTGGGAACAAATTCCGCAGCATTTTTATTAAAAGAGGTAATCTGATTTTTATAAAGCATAAACAAAATCGGTATTTTCTGGCCGTGAAAATGGGGATGTCACAGTGTCTCGGGGTCTTCTCCTCCAACAGTTTACTCTGCAGTGTTTATCCTACAAGCGAAGACCCTATTTTGCAATTACCACACCTCCTCGCCCCTTCCAGTAGAAACAATCATATCTCATTCTTGCAATTTTAGTGAAGGCGGCACCGGTGATGACGATGGCTTCCATACAATCGTCTTTCGATTGACGTAAGAGGATTGCTCCATCTGTTACTCCTCTATTCTAGGGCTCTATCAATGTAATGTGGGCAACAATTTTTAGCAATCTGTGACAAATTTTGTCGGAGGTCGGCAGTTTCCATTCAAAGACGTTGATGCCCTGAGAAGATTTCGATCATCAACTCTAAGAAGAAAAGGAACGTCGCCATGCTTTGCGTAAGGTCTATTCAATATGTATTTTATGATATAACTTCATTATATTTCCGCTTTCGTTTCATTCAACAACATAATTGTGCAATTGACGTAAGATGAAATTAGGGCTTTGCGTTTAGACAGTGAAGATTTTGTATCTGATGTGTTTAAAAACTATCAACAGACCAACAGAAGATCAAGAATTTAGGGAATGATGGAGTTGCTTATTGGTCGGATGTGTTTAAAAACTATCAATAGAGGGAAGACGGGTCAACAGACCAATTTATCATCAATGGTTCCTCATTTCTTCATTGTTCCAAAGATTGACCTGACATATCTTCTTTGTTCCAAAGATTGACCTAACATTCAAGTAATTTTCACTGCTAATCTTTGTCTTTGACTTAATGTTGCTTTTTTAAATTACTAGCTGTGATACCATGTTGTAGTTTTTGAGTAGTAGTTCATCATCTAAATGAAAAGTTGATATTTTCCTATTATGTCACATGATTTAAGCAGGTTTGTACAATAAAAACGGACCTTATTTTTTAAGTAGGAGCCCATTACACCTTGGCTTTATATATATATATATATATATATATATATATATATATATATAATATATATATATATATATATATATATCTTGTGTCATGTGTTCCTATCTTCTACAACATGTCACTGCTGAAGGCACAACTTTGGTTAAACAAGCAGAAGATGCAGTAAGTACCAAGAAGGTTTGTACATACTATATACTAATGTTGATTCACAATCATGTTTCTTTTTTTCCCCTGGATAAATGATGTTTGTCGAAAGTGACTGCAAACTTGGGTAAATAGAAGGAAAAAAAATAAATGAGGGGCTGAGGGCATATTTGGAAACAATCTGGACTTAATGGGAAAAATCTTTGTTAAGTCATTCTTTTTGTTTTAAGTAAAAGAAACACTCATATATAGGCAAAGCCTATCAGATATTCAGATTAAGTCTTGCACCCATTAAGCCCATTAAGTGAAAAAGAAACCATTTAGAAGCAGATGACACTTGCTACATGATGGTGAAGTATATGTTTTTGATACTATAGCAACTTACTTTGATTTATTTGTTTATTACATCATCTTACTTTCATATCTTCCTATTACAGAATTGTATTTTATAAATAAAGCTGTAATGATGAATAACTTTCAACTTATTGTTTTTTGCAGGCTGAAAAGAGAGATGTGGTTGGATTACAGGAACAGGTAAAATCACAAGAACATTAATGACTGTTTCATGAACCATACTCTTTTCCACAAGGTTAGTATAGTAATTTCATCAAAATAAACCATTCCTGTCATTCAAAATTACTTGGTCTTACTTTTGAATGAAATCCCCTCTAGGCTCTTAAAGAGGCATTTGAAATATTCTGCAAGAAGGGTGTTGCTGGAAGTTCAAGCGCAAAGTTACCAGCTACATTTTGTGATAATATTCTTAAAAAGGTGGAAGTGAGAAATTGAGCGATGAAGCCATTGAGGACACGCTTGAGAAGGTATGTTAAAATTGTGTTTGCTCAAAAGACGTAAATGCCCTCATCATCATCGAAAGTCTCCTGTGCAGCAAATGGTAAGCAGAAGTGATTGAGTTTTTGAACTAATTTGCTGGTAGTAAAGTTGCTTGCCTACATCAGTGATAAAGATCTATTTGTTGAATTTTACAGGTAAACTTTTTTCTGATTCCTTGTCTAATGAAGTCATATGTTTGTTGATTTGTTCATTTTGTCTTTTTATAATATCTGACATGAAATTACATTGTACTCTGGTTGTAGGAAAAAACTTGCTAGGAAGCCTTGTTTGTACTTTGTAAAATGTAGGATTGGGCACTTAAGCTGGAAGAAGTTTTCATAGTTGAAAGACAATGAGAGTTTGATAACTTTGTTCCATATAAAAATAAAATCAAGAACAATATTCTCTTTTGGCATGGTATTGTAGCTTCAAATCTTTTCTGTTAAGTTATATCATTCATGCAAGATGAGAAGGGCATTAATGTCTTTTGCATGGATGTTAATGAAATCTATTGTTCTTAATAGGTTCTCGTTTGACAAACTATGTTGGTATTTTAAGCCAAGGATTGCGAATAGCTCCCCCTAAAGCTCCTGCAACCGGCTACATGGTCCTCCTCCTCCTCCTCTCTCTCTCTCTCTATTAATCAATCCATTAATCTATTATTTATTGATCAAGAAAGTAATCTTTTTCTATGTTTGTAGTTTGGAAAAGGGATTTATTTTGCTGATTTGGTGAGCAAAAGTGCTCAATATTGTTTTGCTGACAAGAAAAATCTGGTTGGCCAAGGTCAGTTATACTTATATGTGAAATAAATGGTGTGTTTTAGTAATTAACTTATTTATTTGTCCTTTTATTATATATATATATATATCTATATATATATATATATCTATATAGATATATATATATATATATATATATTCTATATGGACAAACCTCCAAAGGGAAGGACTCGACTAAAGGACTTGGGAAGAAGATCCCTAATGAGTTTGAACACATTAAGTGGAAGGATGATGTAGTTGTGCCATGTGGAAAGCCTGTATCATCAAATAAGAATTAATTTTAAAAGTAGAATGTCCTATAATAAGAATTAATTTTAAAAGTAGAATGAAAATGACAAGTGATTTTGTGTTGTGTTTACAGGGTTGATGAAAGTGAATAGCTCTGGAGTTAAAAGAGGAAAAGAAAGCTCAAGCTGAAAGAGATAAGATGCTGCAAATGAAAGTGTTGCATTCTTCATTTCAATTGTTAGTATGAAACACAGAGTAGATTAGATGAATGCAAATTTATATATTGTAAGAAATAGAATTGTATGACATTAAATTTTATGCAATGGATTATATTTTTTGTATATGGTATTTTATTTCTATTATGAGACATTAAATGCAACTTTAAATTAAAAATTAATAAATATATAAATATATATTTTTTAAACATTTAAATTTACGATACGCAAAAATTGTTGTCATCTTCATTTATGACATGGCCTTTCTTGACAGGGGTTTTAATGATACGCATTGCGTGTCATAAATGCGCGTCATCTATAGACGACGCGCAAAAGCGTGTCGTCTCTCGTTATGACAGGGCCTTCCTGGACGCGCATTTGCGCGTCGTCTGAGCGTTTTACGACACGCATTGCGCGTCGTAAAATGCTGTTTTTCTAGCAGTGTTGTAAAAGGTAGAGTAAAATTTTTTCTACTCTTGTACATTTGAAATTGATAAGTTGTGATGTTTTTGGATAAAATAAAGACCAACTAAGACCAATTGAGTGAAGTGTTTACCTTGATAAGAATCCACACTAACTCTTGAATATTTGTTTTGTCAAGGAATGGTTTTTGACAAGAGAATCTTATATGTCAAGAGGTCAGTGGGAGTCTTAAAGATCTTGGAAAAGTTGCAAGAACTAATCAAGAATAAAACCTGTTATTTATCACTAGCACACAACTTGAGGTTTATAACCTATCGTGTTGGCATATTCTTGTTTCTGTGCCCATTCCAGTTAAAGTTGACTATGCATGTGAATTCTATGAGTTCTCAACTGTTTGCATAACTACCTGGAAGCAATGGTAGGCCTTGTGCTACCAGGTGGCAAGAAGTTAATATTAAACAAGTTCAGTCCATATAGTTTGGATTTGTCACTAATCTTGTCTTGTGATTATGGTTATGACAAACTTACATAGATAGGAACACATACACCATAAAATCTAAGTGTCATAAGGTTTCTCTCCGATTCATGAAAAATGATGGTGAGGAAACGCTTTGACTAAGTAGATTTTAAGTAGATAGCAATTGTGATATTTGCATTCTCAAAGTCGTTAGTGGAGCGTGTGTGGTTAACCGGCACACTAACATGGACTTGTGTGAAATGGCAAAGGTCTAAAGAATTGAGACTATGATTACGGCATCCCTTTTCATAGTTCTAAAAATTGTTTAGACACATATGTGAGCTATCTAAGAAAAGGTGTATGATTTTGATAAAGTCTTATCAAAGCATCTCGTATCAGAAATCTGAACTTTGGTAAGAAAGTCAATAAAGTATTGATTTCTAGAAGTCCAGTTGATTTCTAGATACATGTCAAAGCTAGTGGGAGCATAAGTGTTATGCTAATAATTATCATGTTAGTGAGAGCATGATTATTATGTTAAGTATTGCAAGTTAGCAATGTTAATTATAGAAAACAAAAGTTTCAATTTGCAAAGTTGCAGGGTTTGAAAAGTTGTTTTGCTATAATTAAGGGAGATGAAATTATACTTCATCCCAATTCTAAAAGCTTAGATTGAGATTTTAATAAAATTTAGTCAAGTATATATTTGAATGTTATGTTGGAATGGTTCAACATAAGGAAATTCTATATATGGGAACATTATTTGCGTTCTAAAATTCGATTATGATTACGGCATCCCTTTTCATAATCTGAAGTATGAGAACATGGCAAATAGAAATAGAAATATTATAGCAAAAGACTAGTCTAGTATCATGTCTTTATGTGAGACATCATGAAATCGTGTCCCATATGCTTCGGATATAGGATCAATTACATTTGTTGTAATATTCATCTGTTCTAAATTTTTCTAAATGCCTAGGGCATTAAGAGGGAAAAAGTACTAGAACTGGATATGACTAAAATGATTAAGCAATTGTCGAGGACAATCTGAGGTTTACCAAATATTGGTTGCTCATGGACAATTGGAAGTATAGTGTTAATTTTGGAAGGACCATATTGACATATTCTGAAAGGAAGCAACTCTTGTTCAGAAGTGATAGTCAAAATGGGAATGTGGAAATGTTTCCATAGGTGGAAGTAATTCGTTAAATCTGTGTAAGATTAGAAAACTTACTGCAAGAAGGATGTTCAAAGGAATGTACTTTGAATTTGAGATTTCGTTTCAATGGAATTGCTCTCTATTGGGATACTTTGTAATGTCTGTGGCCAAGTCTTTGTGACTTTTGTGCATAGTCATTACAAGAGGATCAATGCATATAAGTTTAGAATCTAACAGATTTCAGTAAATGGCAAAGAATCTTGTATTCTTACATGTGCGGTAATGATTTGGGATTGTGAAATGAGCATCATTGGAATCATGTTCAATTGGTCTATTTCACAAAGTAAGGATCATAGACAAACATAGTGTGCATACTTGGAGTATGGCATAACTATTGTTTGGACAAACATAGTGTGCATGCTTGGAGCATGGCATGACTATTGTTTCGGTTCAAGTATTAAGTTGATTATTCGAAACATTATACAATGAATAATGTGTAATCAATATGGTGATAAATAAAAGGTGTTTTATTTATATTCATAAGTTCTGAGACCATATGATTCGATTATTCTTGTGTTTCACTTTGCATGTTTTCACTTCCCGAATAACTAGGTTATTCAAACTATCCACAGTCAATCATACTTTGGAAGTAGGTATGAATCAAGACTGTCATGAATTGGGCTTGTAGATGTCTAAAGTGTTTAGACATAGCAAAAGTTGCTGCTGCAACATTCATGAGTGCTCCTAGAATGAGATTCGAGTATTGGATTAAACTCACGCTCATTTGACTCACTTCATGGATTTTATCACGAGTGATCATGAGACGATAATATCTTATATTCTTCAAACCTAGAGATATGAGTTGTTGACTATGAGTTGGTTGTACATTGATTGTATGAAAACGCATCAGTAACTTGATGTTATAAAATGATTCAACAAGTAGTTAGTACAAGCATATGAGTCGAAGTTTATCCATTCCTTTTACCCTTGGAGGGATAAAAGCGATATATGTGGGCCCCTCGATGATTTAGTTATGACAAACGTAAGTGCTCGGTCGGGCCTGGACTGAGTTGAAGTTGTTCAATTAGTCGGTCGTCATAAATCGGAAATTGGGAAACAACAAATGGATATAGAGAATGATTATAACTCATGTCTCGGTCCATATGATATCTAGAATGGAGGAATATATGATCCCTTATCTAATAGACGTGTCATTGACTAGGTCAGAGTTCGACAGCGGCTTTTAAGAGCTACGATTGCTAGTCGGGTTTTGGAGACATACTTGCAATAATAGTTTTAGACTTATCCAAGTAGGAGACTGTTGGATTAGATGTCTAATCCTATAACGATTATTGGTATGTACTCAACCCGATAGTAGCATGGTCCATTTGGGTTGCATATCATCAGGACAATTTGTTAGGATGGACTCTTGACAGAAAGGTTATATATGATTTATTAATATATTATAAGTTATAATATATTAATATGAAATCATATGTTTTAATTAGTATTGATCAATAATTAATTTGGAATTAATTTAGTGATCAAAATAGACTAATTAAATCTATGGGGACTAATTATGATAATTAGTTATATTTATATGTGTTGGGGCTTATGATCCATGTTGGACCAAGTTTATGTATAGATACATAAAGAGTTGGGCCACATGAACCATGGATCATAAACCCATGGGTATGGATTTGGGTTATACCCATGACCCTTGAAATCCAACATATAAATACATGCTCTTAACCAAAAAAATGCCTACATGCTTGTTCTTGGAGTTCATGGGTGTTTTTGGGTGCATGGAATTCTCTCTCAAGTTCCACCTTTGTCCATGATGTGTTGTGAATTCATTTTGAGGCTTCCACGCTATTGGGGCTAAGCTTTTAAAGGCCAAATTCATCAAGTTCTACAAACTTTACAAAGAGGTAAAACTTCTAACTAGTATTTTATGTAGTTTATATCATTTGTATGCTAGTTGTAGGCTTAAAGCTTTGGAAACAATATTGCATGTATAATTAGAGAAAACATAGATCCAAAGCTTTTAGGGTTGTATGTGCACCATAGGATGTTGTAGTATACAAAACCCAACAACTTTCCCGACATACCCATGGAGGACGAACCAATCCCGGCTGACGACGATGCACCACTACCTTCAGAAAGCAGTGAGACCGAGGAGGATCCTGAAGAAGACATGTTAGAGGGTCCTGAGGAGGATATGGATTCCAAGGAGGAGCAGGAAGAAGAAATAGAGTCAGGGGAGCACAAATATGAAGGAGAGGTAGAACCAATCAGCAAAGATAAACAAGAAGCAACACCGTCCTCAAGTTCTAGTCTTCCAATTAGGGGAGGGTGTCGCCGCACGAGCATGGAAATATATCCTGATCCGAGGAACCGTAGCAATGAAACTCAGCGGGAAACTCTCTGACCTCCTTTGGAAATGGGACAACCCAGACCGGATCGATAACCAAGTGAATAGTTAGATCGTAGAAAAGAAAGTTCCAGGGACATACGAGCCCGGGCATGCATCGGGGGAAAACCCCCCATAGATTATTGGCATCGATGTTATATCCCTACTCTTCGAGAGGAATACTCAGATGGGACATTAAGTAAAAAAAGTGAGCGATAAACTCAATATTATTGAGGGTAACACAATCCAGCTGACTGGGAGGATGCCAAGGGTGAAAAGAAGACAACCGCATGATCGAGAAGCATAAATGAACATGAACTTACACGTAGAGTATAATCGTGAACGGGTAATGGATCACGATATGAGGTTGTTGGCACAAAACCTACGGAACCAGATGCCTCTTACTGTGGCAAACTAAGTGGGGATGATACAAGCAGCCATGAAGGAATGATTCTTTGAAATGACCCAGGCATTGGGTGGACTTATGGGCTTCTGGTGAAGGATTGGTGTGGGTAGAATGTGAATGGAAGGAGGTATGGACAAGTCAAAGTAGGCCTTGTCAATTTTGTGGTAGAAGTGTCAGGTAGGTTTAGCTATACTATGGAACGGTTGGATAGTTTGGGGCAAGTAGATCCCTAGGATCTTGATTAGGAGGAAGTCGTGTAGCAAGAATATAGTTAATCTTGCAATTTTGAGCCTATAGGCAAATGTAATTTTTGTTATGAATTGTCATTCCCAAAAACTTGAATATATTTTGTAATGAATGTTGTTACCAAATTATGTAAAATATATTGAAGTATATACTATATTATTTTGAACTTGTTAAACGGTTGTGTGAACTATGTGCTTAACTGAAAATATCATGAAAAATTGATGAACCGTTATGAACAAAACAAGTCATTTAACATTATACTTTAATGACTAACAAAGCACCATGAACTTATAACCTTCCACTAACTATGATAGGACATTTAAAATGCCTACAATAAGGATAAGCCCTAGGTTGAACCTTAGGGGAACACCAACTTCAAGACCAACAGGCGGACGACCTAAGAAAGGCTGACCAAGGACAAAAGTAACCCCAAAAGCTGAAACACCAAGTCAAGATGCACCGCTAACACCACAACCTGAGGTAGGTCTGCCTAAAAGCACAACATAATTGGAGCAGTTGATTTCGGAGCACCTTATAATTGTGCTAAGAAACATAAAATCTATGCGAGGTGGAACATCCATAGGAGGGAACAGTGGAACTGGTTGTGGGCTTGGAAGCAGTTCTAACATAAATCCTGAAAAGCCCTAAAGAACTTGTTCATACAAGGACTTCATTAACTACAAACCTAGAAAGTTTTATGGAAACGAAGGATTTGTGGGCCTGACTCGATGGATAGAGAAGATGGAAGGCATTTTTGAAATAAGCTACGATTCTGCGGGTAACAAGGTCCGATTTTCCGCCTGCAATTTAATGAACACAGCTCTGACATGGTGGAATGACTATGTGAAAACATTAGGCGTGGTTTCTGAAAACTCCATGTCATGGGAAGATATGAAAACACTTTTCGTAAAAGAATATTGTCCTCGGGATGAGGTGCAAAACCTAGAGCATCAGTTGTGGAACTTAAAAATGAAGGGGTCAGATATCAAGGCTTACACTACCATGTTCAACGACTTTGCTCTCCTATGCTTGGGAATGGTGAGTCCAGACATAAAAAGGTTGAACACTACCTTTGGGGATTGGCACCACATATAAAATGGATGGTCATTGTATCGAAACCTATCACCTACAACAGTGTTAAACGCCTAGCACTCCAATTGACTAAAAATGAAGTTGATCAGGGAATGATGGAAGCCAAAGTTGAAACCCCTAAAACGAACAACGACAAGCAAAATTTTAGTGGAGGAAACCCATGCTAGCAGAGGAAGTAGCAGGTTGAGAAAGTTTATGCAACTACAACATCAACAACAACTCCAAACCACCCAACTCCAACACATCAGAAGAATTATGTTGGGAAACATCGACTGGTAACACCTGCAAACGACCATCACGTCGGTGAATGCTATCATTGCACTAAGTGCAACAAAAAGGGACATACCGTCAATTTCAGTAAAAGCTTAACGGCTGCTGGGGGAAACCAAAGAACTGGTGCGATATCAGGAGGTGGAGGAGGAAGGTCGTGTTATGAGTATGGAGAGTCTGGGCATTTCAAGTGTGACTGCCCAAAGCTGAAGAATAGGGATAGAAATGCTCATGGGCGGGCATTTGTGATTGGAAATAGGGATGCTATTCGGGATCCTTCGGTGGTTACTAGTATGTTCCTCGTCAATAACTTATATGTTACAATACTCTTTGACTCTAGTGTTGATAGAGGTTAAGTAACTCCAACATTTAAAAGAAAAGCCAAGAGTATAGTAAGTTAGATGTACCATATGAAGTAGAAGTAGCCAACGACCAGATAGAAAGCACTACCAAAATTTTCAATAATTGTCCGCTAACCCTAATTGACCACACCTTTCATGTAAATCTCATGTTAATGCCATTAGGAAGCTATGGCATTATCATAGGTATGTATTGGCTGTCTCCTCACCGTGTTGAGATCTCGTGCTATGAAAGGCGATACGACTAAACTATAACACCGTGATTTTTCAACCAAAATTTTTCTTATATTTTTAACAAATTTATATCCGAAAACGTTAGCGGAAGTCTTTTATGAAATCATCACCAATTTTACTTTTTTTTTCAAAATAGGTCCATCAAAATCCAAAGTTGTAAAAACCAAACCATAACAAGTATCAAGACCAAATGTAAATGAAACACCACAAGAAGTCTCAAACTGGTATCATTACTACAAAAAAAAGACTATAACTACCCATAAAATCCCAACCTCACTGGGCCATCAATATCAAGCTACCTGTACCAATGCAAAAGCCACAACAACAAGCAAGAAACAAGTGTCAGCATCAGCACAGTGAGTCAATCTTAAGCACATAAGCATGGAAACAAAGCACACATATACATCATGTCAATTCATGCAATCACATCAATCCATGTAGAATACATCGATACCTATATATATATATATATATATATATATATATATATATATATATATATATATATATACATGTATTTATTAATCCGTGCATTCTTTCATCGGAGTAAGTATTAATTTGTTTGTTTCACTATAATTACTATTAATGTCCTCACTAACTAGGGTCTAATGCATCACTAAAATCCCCAAAGAAAGACCCCATTCGCTCCTAACGTGACCTTGCGACCCATTGCACTAAAAGGGGTACGATTCCCACCCGTAACATTATCCATGGTTCGACATTTTCACTACTCCGACTTTGCATGTACAAGACAATGCATTTTCGTCCGAGGGTGGTTCAATAGTACTTTGAAATGTTTTCCCCCCACCCAAATGTGAAGTTTGATCCGCGTCCCCGAGTAGCCAACATCACTCCAGTTCCCATACACAAAATGCACCAGAACCATGCCTTGAAATGGTTAACTAAAAAACCATTCGACGTTGACTTGGCTTAAAATATTTTCCTCCAATGATATCCTTCCACCGTGATATATCGTATGGGCATGTACCTAAGTTAGGTTACTACCCTTTTAACCCTACTATGTGTATTCCCCTTTTATTTTAATTAACTAGATGATTTATTAATTCCTCTCACATAGGAAAACACACACCTCACCAATAATATTATGTAATCATGCTAGTGAATTATTATTATAATTAATCCATGGCATACTTGTAATATCCCAATAATACCGACTAAAATTTTCATTTTTATTAAGTCGAAACCATTCATTGATTATTCAAAAAGACAATCAAAGTAAAAGTATTCTCAAAACATCAGAATAAAATCATAAGCAATCATTGCAGAATAATCTTTAAGGGATTCAGTGCGATCAAGTTAGACCCTTCCTTTTGAAACCAGAAGTACCTGAAAACATTTTTAAACATAAAACATAAACACAAAGCTTAGTGAGTTTCTCAAAATACCACGTACGATATATATATATATATATATATATATATATATATATATATATATATATATATATATATATATATATATATATATATAACAGCACATAGCTGTGTCGGGTCCGTAACAACCCCAGGTCCGTATCAACCCCGAGTCCATAATGACTCCATACAACAACATGTAGTTGTGTCGGGTCTGTAAGACCCCCCACGTCCGCATCAACCCTGAGTCCATAATGACTCCATATAACAACATGTAGGTGTTTTGGGTCGGTAACAACCCCCATATCTATTTCACTCCACATACATAAGCATACATGCATATTAGCATTAGTCACAAAGACAACAAGCACATACAAGCGTATCAACAAGTGTTAGAAAGACAAATAAACATAATCCAGTGGGATTGCATTGGTGCCTTCGACCCACGAGTACAGTGAAGAGACCTACCTGAACAGACTTCGCAGATTAAAACCACTAGATTGGTTAAGATGGTTGTCCAGCTCCCTGAACACCTACAACCCATAACATTAATCTCTTCTTAGTTCATATTTCGAGTATCACTTAATAGTACTTCATTATATTTCTCTTATTCGATGTTATTACCTTTATAACTATCACTCCGTACTAGATTATATGTCTCAATTAACAGTTTAAACCTATCTCGCTCTTAACTATCATGATTATTCTAACCCTTAGATAAAAGCCTTGTCTCTTTCGATTTAACTTTTATTTTAACCCAATACGTGGTCAGCCCAAAATATATATCTATGATTAATTTGAAATTTAGTATTTAATTAGAATTATAATTAAACAATTTGTCACATCATTACTACGTTCGATGTTAACATATATTTAAAATTTAATTAAAGATGGACTCTAATTGCTTTCAACCATATACTCCGATTCATAAGTCCATTAGTTTAAGCCCGCCAACAAAATAAGATTGGCCCAAGTAAAAACCTAATTTCCATTACATGTGAAATAGAGAAACTGTGAAAGCAGCGTATACCTCATGTACGACGCATGCACATCAGCATTCAACCGCAAGGCCGACGACACTCTTTCCCCGGTGAAGCCCTTTCTCCGGCGGCATCTCCTTCTTTCTTCTCGATCTCTCGTTTGTATCTCCCTCTCTCTTTCCACCAGCTTTCGATTGTTAGAGCTCTGCTGGAACACATGCTCCTACATGCCGGGTTATGAACTCACCGGAGACAACACAATTTTCTCTTTCCTTTCATGTTTTTTTTTTTTTTTTTTTGCTAAACATCATACCTGCCTCGGATTCTTTCACTCACCAGGCGTTCCCCGGAAAAGCAGAGCAATGTTTCACCTTCTCTTATCGGCGTACCAAATCGCCGGAAAACACCTTCCTCTAACATTCTCCCACTGATTTCACTCGGTTTCTTACACGAAGGAGGAGGGTAGTTAGCTTTTAACAGCCAACGAGATAGTTATCTAGGGCTAGGATCAATTTGCTTTCCAAGAAATCGAGATTTGTTGCTCTCAATCGAGGAAGGCGACACCACCTTTTATCTGTGTCGTTGAGAGCTGATTGGAAGAGATGGAATCCAATTTTCCATCAAAATGACATATTTGGTCCCTGTAGCTTGGCATATTACTAGATTCGACCCGTACACAATTCCTTTAACAAAACTAATTTCCAAAAGTTATCAAATGAACCCTCGACTTATAAATCCCCTTTATAGTAAATAAATAAATAAATTTTATTTAATTATTATTATTATTATTATTATTATTATTGATATTATATGAATTCATACCGGGAATCTAGAAACGGATGTTACAATTCTCCCCTACTTATTTCGATTTCGTCCACAAAATCCGCTTTGGAAAACACCTAGATACCTTCCACGTAATCGACCCAATAGGTTCCCGACCCACACACAAATCCACTAGAGCTGTTACCACACCCTTCTATTCTTAAAAATCTTCGCTTCACGACTCAGAACCCTAGAGGTTTTGATACTAGCAACATGAACCAACTTCTTGTGGTAACTCTCGAAACCGATATCTTTTCAGCTAAACCTCCAAAGCTGAAATTTCAAAACTGAAGATCACCACCTTCGCATAAATGTCGACTAGTTCCCCCACAACGAGGAACACTTCTCACTCACAAAGAAATCATCTTCGATGGTTAATCCATCCTTAAAATTTAGAGATACTCACACTTGTGAATTTTGGCAATAAGGCTTTTTGATGCTCACTTGACTTCCTGACAAATCATCCCTATACTACCGCTCTTACGAGCGTAACAATGGTCAATCTAAAATCTCGTGTGGCATCCAAAGCCCCATATCAGCTCAGGTATACAACCACCTAATAAATCATCTAAGAGGTCTACAACAAACCCCCTTAGTCTGAGACTCCAAAACCAAAACTCAACATAGATAACAAAACTCTTAATGAAGATAAAAATCTACAATACAAGCAGGGATCCACGAATGCAAACACTCAACAATGACTCCCGACGCACAACTAATACTTCCAACAAAACAACATTTTATCAAAATTATGATCAAAACCAACTGGCCACTGAGTGTCTAGTGTTCTAACCATAGAATTCCAATACCCAACTATGCCATCAAGACTAACGAATCAAGACCTAAGAGTCTCAAACACGTAATTATCGGGTCTAACCCACAACATATACTCATTGGTTCACGATACATCATGACACCCTCTAGTCATGAGAACAGTAAGCTCACGTCCCATGCCGATCTTGCCGTCATTCCATCATTGTCCTGAAGACTCACGACTAGCACCATATGGCCTAAAGATACTTAACCATCAACCCCACCAACTTGCAAGAACCCAAAACAATATCCCTCTTAACACTAACCAATCACAACACGAGTAATACTTTTCTATAACACACAACTGCTTTCACAGTACAGACTGCTACAAATGCTAAATCAGATGAAAACATGGCCACAAACAACCAGAGAATGAGGTAGGCAGTTGTACTCTTGTTCCAATTCAAAGCCTATAAACCAAATAATAAATGTGCCAATAATTCGAACCAAGTGCTCCTTTTCTATCTTGTTTAGTCCACATATGTCCCTCTCGACAATAGCTAATGAGATTACCACAATACACACCCTTAAGAGAACCCATAACCAACCCTGGATCTACTGCATTCCTTTTTTTCTCACAACCTTATCCAAATGGTGAAGTACCATTAGATCTAATGAAATGACGAATCTTAATCATTAACAGAAACATCCTCGTAAGTGACTGAAACAAGATCCTACCACTACGCAACTAGCTCAATGAAACTTCCAAAGTTATCCAGAAATGTTGTAAAAAGCCTGGTCAAATCAATCTAAAACACCAACCCTGTCGAAACGACATGCCAAAATTGGATTCTACGTAGATATAAAGCCCAACAAAAATTGACAAACCTTGATGAACCCTAGATTGTTAGGATTTGGGTTACGATGGCAACCGGTAAAACTCGAATAAACTTCAATTTCACCTGATGGGATCGGTCGGAGGTGTGGACGTCGGAAGGGAGCGACGAGTGACGGATTAGACATGGCAGGTAGATGACGTCGATGAGTAATTGTTGATGGCGATGGCAATCGATTTTTGTAGAACTCAATATCGATTTTGTAGTCTATTCCAATTTTGCAGATCGGCCAAGATTTGGTTTTTAGATAAAGAGGGGAACGACTCTAGATATAAACCTGGAGAAATTAGGTTAAAAGTCAATACCATTGATTATAGGGATTATTTTTGGAAGTTGTTAATCAAATTACTAAATTACCCTTATTTATTTAATTATTTAATTATTTATTTAATTTTGATTGACCCACATTTATGCATACGATCACACAATAATTACTTTGAACATCTGAACCTATCTCTCTCTCTCTCTCTATATATATATATATATATATATATATATATATATATATATATATATATATATATATATATATATAGGGGGTTCGGCCTTAATGGGCCTCAAATGATGGGTGTTCGGTCCTATATGACCAAATTCCTTCATGAAATCAGTCTTAAAGTCAACAAAATGGAGGGTGTTCGGTTTCTAGTCCATGGAAAAAGGCAATTCGGTCAAGGCTATACAAATGGGGTGAAATCGGTTTCTTGGTCAAAGGAAGAAAAGAGAAATCGGTCAAGCCTCAAATATCCTGATTTTTTGGTTTGGTATATATATTCCAAAACTGATTTTATATATATATATATATATATATATATATATATATATATATATATATATATATATATATATATATATATATATATATTTTCTAATTCCATTTAAGGTTAAGCTTATATATATTTCCAAAGGCATGGTTTTTCCATACCTTTCACTAAGTATTAGGTTTTAGGATGAAGGATTTTAATCCTTATTGTAAACTAGGGTAAACTTTGGTTCGAACTTGGTGTAAATTTCATTGAATTTTATTGACTCGAAAGAACGGGTTGCTACACATTGTCATATGGCACCATTTTGAGCTAGCCTCAAAAGTACATAGCTTATAGTTTTGAACTAGATGAAATGATTTATATTCTATTTGCTTGACAAATTAATTCATCATTTATGACATATTATGCATAGGACCTGGTATATGATCATGTTATGAGCATATCATAGGATACCAATTGACTACATGGTTAAGCCACTAGATGACTATGAAACATTCTAAGAGTACTTAAGAAGAACTAAGAGAATGTATATGAGATAATTAGTTTAGAAATGATCTTTATGTAAAGAGTTACAAAAGATGTTGATTTCTAAACATATATAAATAATTATGAATTATAATTGGATTTTGACTTCATTAGGGAATGAAGAATATGTTTTGTGAATGAGGTCCAAACAAAACATAATGACACAATCTACTACATATATAAGAATACATAACTTTAGAAGTTGAATTCAAATATGATTGGATGAATGAGATCATTGAAAAACTATGTTGATTTCTGCCATTCAAGAATCACATATAAATCTTTGTGACTTCGAGAGTATACTTAATCAAGCTAAGAGACTCTATATCACGAAAGAACACCAATCATATTCTCCAAGATATTTTAACTATACTTAGAGTAAATTCATATATGGAGATCATAGTATTCGCAAAATTCACACAAAGCAATTTTGTCAAACCCATTGATAAAGTCATTCTTTTGAGCTAAGTATGAATGGTCACACTTCAACTATAAGCCTTTATTATTCTAGAAATGGGATTTTGATTTGGATTTAGTATTTGGATATTGGAACATTATAACAACAACTATTAGATAATGTTATGATATATTGGGATATAGTCATCACATTAATATTTGTTGTGTTCTATATTAACATGTTTAATCCATGAATAATGTTATTATTCTAAAAATTCATAGTCGATTATAATTGTGGGAGCAATTATAAATTAAGACTAATATTAATTGGATTGGTTGACTCTCACTAGATGAAAGTAGGCAAGTGGTTGTAACCAAGTTTTATAGGTACTTGTTAGAGAACCAGTATTGAACTGACCCGCATCAAGATCATCTCATGGATCACTATCATGAATGATATTTGATTAAAAGGTACTATCTTTGTATCCTTAACACATGAGATACATAGTGGGACTAATTGTAGGGAGTACTATGCTTTGATATGGTCAAATGTTGTTCCTTAACCGGGCAGTTATAAAAGCCATTTTCAAGATTGGTGTGAACTATGCAAGAGACTTATGTAGTCAAGATGGGGTTTGTTCCTCTTATGTGTTGATAGTTAGACATCTAAGGCGCCTTACCAAAAGTTGAACAACTAATGAGATTGATCGCGATCCGTATCTCATGTTTAACATGATGTCTGTAACAAAGGGATAACTGAGAAACTTACCTTATACACCAATTGCAGCCTTGGGCTTCTGGGAATTGGGCATTGATATAATGGAACAAAGTCGTATGTTGATGGGGGCAATGAAATGTTGCTAGACGTTCACCACTATCTATATTAGTCTAATATGAGTCATGCGCAAGTGGGAGATTGAAAGATCTAGTATGCTCAAAAGTCATATTAAAGTGATATTGCTAATTAACATATGATAATAATGGGTCACACTAAGAACAACTTGATACAATTGATTATTTATTAGAAATTGATTTTAATAAATATTCAATAAACTCTTATAATTAAATTGGAAATTATTTATTTCATGGAAATAATAATTTTCATTAGCAAGTAACATAATATACAACATATGGTATGATTTATTAAGTCATGTACATTATTTTGGACTAGAAAGACTCTTTTGTCTTTTAGCTAAAAGTTAAAGTTTATATATTATAAAGAGTTATAAGAATTTTATAAACTTCTCTTTTCTTTTATTTATAA